GATCCCTATGAGTTCAAGGTCAATCTGGTCTACAGAGTTAAGTTCCATGACAGCCAGAGCTATAGAGAAACACTGTCTCCAAAAACAAAATAAAAAGATTCTAGCACCTCCCAACACACCACTAGCTGGGTGTCCTGTGCCCAATCATTACCCTACCTGAGGGGATGACATTTTACATTCAAACCGTAAAAATTTGCCAAAAAGCTACCCACAAAGAAATGTTTGGGCTCAGATGGCTTTGTTAGTCACATTAAATCTTTAAAGGTTTAAAATCAATTTTACACAGGAGACAGGGAAAACCACCCAACTGAATTATTTTCAGCCAATATTACCCTGTACAAAATGAAGATAATCTCACAAATAAAGACATAAAAACCCCTCAAGAAATATTAATGCAAGCAAGTAAAATCCAAGTACACATTAGTTATGTACCATGACTCTGTAATGTATCCCAGTAATCCAAAGTTCACTCAACATCCCAAATTAATGCAGAATCAACAAAAAAATTAAAAAAGGATGAAAATCAGATGATCTCAATAGGTATAGAGAAAGTTTATTTAAAATATTCCCAACTGCCCTTCCAACTTGAGTCCAAGAGAATGGTACCAGCCAAGAAGGGTAGTGGGGAAAAGAAGGGCCATTCTGTCCTCAACTGAAGTGATAATCCAAGAACACACCATCAACATTCACAGGAAATCCCCCTCAGCACTCCACGTGTTTGCCAGAAAGGAGATGGGGGCTCTGTGTGTACACATATTGATACCATGCCCAATAAAAAACCCTGGGCCAAAAAAATAAAGATGTTCCATTAGCAGTATCCCTGCATAACTGTCCTGAGTGTGAGGATGAAGATTCAGGAAAAGCTGGTACCTACACCCCTATTGTACCACAATCAAAAATCAACATATAATCAATGTGCATGAGAACTGCTGAGGATTATAAAACTACAAAAAATAAAATGCCCACAACCACTGCTGTGTTTAATGTTCTAAGAGTGACATTAAGAGAGAGGAACACAAGGATGCCCAGTCTTACCACTTCTACACAACACTTCCTAGGTGTTCTGGCCATCGCAGTTACAATAAAGCATGCAGAGTGGACAACAGCAACTCAGGTTCCAGACAAATAGGTTACCTATTTGTAGAAAATACCCTCTATATAGAAAATCAAAAGAAATTTGTTCTAAAAATTGAATTAAAAACTAAGTTTGAAGGCAAGAATGATGGCTCATGTCTGCAATCCTACCACTTGGAAGGTAGAGGCAGGAAGGAGGATCATCCTTCACTATATAATGAGTTTAAGGCCAGCCCTGGCTACATGACACCTTTTCTCAAAAATAAGTAACTAAATTGGCTAGGTCACAAATACAAGATTGACCATAAAACCAGCTAGGTATAGTGTTGGGACCAGCCAACTTGTTGAACAAAATTGGAATAGGGGAAGTGAGGATTAAGAAAGAGACAGCCAGGCGGTGGTGGCGCACGCCTTTAATCCCAGCACTCGGGAGGCAGAGGCAGGCGGATCTCTGTGAGTTCAAGGCCAGCCTGGACTACCAAGTGAGTCCCAGGAAAGGTGCAAAGCTACACAGAGAAACCCTGTCTCGAAAAACAAAAAAAAAAAAAAAAAAAAGAACGAAAGAGACAAGAGACAGAATTGGGAGGGCTCTCGGTGAATACTGCAGCAGCCCTGAATTTATATCTCAGCTTTTTTATACCCAAAGCGAGGGCAGCAAAAGATTTCATTACCATAGTTCAAGGAACAATCAAACACCTTAATTCTCAAAACATCTAGTAACCATATCTTTGACCAAACATCCCATTATTCAGCCTTGAGGAGCAAAAACAAGCTTGAACTCTGACTTTAAATCAAGATGGAATCAAGCCACAAGCAGGAGTCACTGTGGGCTCCCATAGTATAGTAACATATGCCTATATTCCTACCACTCTAAAGAGAGAATCAGGAAGTTCATGAACTTGAGGGCAGTCTGGGCTATCCAAGATATTGTATCAAACAAAAGAAAAACAAAATGAAAGGAAAAGAAAAAAAAATGCACTTCTTCATAATTAAGCCAGAAACTAAGGAAGGTTTTCTATTCACAGTAACATGAAGACAACTTTAAGGAACCAGGAATGGTGGCACACACTTTTAATCCCAGCACTCAGGAGGCAGAGGCAGGTAGTTCTCTGTGAATTAGAGGCCAGCCTGGGCTACATAGTGAGTTTCAGAACAGCCAGAGACTTTGTCTCAAAAAACCAAAAAGGAAGGGAGGGAGAGAGGGAAAAGAAAGAAAAAAAAAAAATCAACAAACAAAACCTTGCAGAAGACCCAATTCCTAGCATCCCCATCAGGAAGCTCATAATCACCTTTAACTCCTTCTCCAGGGAATCTGACACCCTCTTCTGGACTCCAACAGCACCTGCACTCAAGTGCACATAACAACCAATCACACTTGGCCTAAGTATATGAACAGACCACTTGCACCAATCGAAATTGCTCAAAACAAGTTATTTCACCTGTTTCTCTCTTAAAAAAAAAAAAATCAATCCTTTCCTTTGAAGCAACATTTGCTTGATTTCTAATTGAACCTGTTTCTCTCAATTTATACATTCTACTTCGTATGAAAATAAAAACCTGATTTCAGCCACCTTTGTGATGTCTTGTCTAAGACTGGGTAAGAGGTCAAAGGCAGTATTCACTTAGACACTCATTTGTGGCATAGCTCTAATCTCACTTGGGATTATATCTCACTAGGCTGGCTCTAACTACACCTTTCATTTACAACTTCATTTAGCATATCAAGAATTTTAAACCCTGCACAGCTTCTAAAAAAAAAAAAATCAGAATTCTTCAAGGTCTTAAGGGTTTCTTACTTTGCATTTCTATAGCCAGGGCTGGTACAAAGTCTTGCTTTATCTAAAACTGAATGCTTCCCACTTCCGTTTTACATGGATTAGTTTCCAAAGAAATGGGAAAAGAAGCCTGGTAAGACAAAGATGCCTGAAGTTCACCCTTAAACTTTTAACATGATTACAATTCCCTAAGCAGCTGAGTTCCTAAAATCATGGCACTGATAATGTAAAAGAGAAGAACTAATCATATAGATAAAAAGGGAAAACAAAACTAGGGCAAGATCTCTGTATCCAAGGAATTTGCTGAGCAATTTGGCTTCACAAGCAGGGAGTGAAAATCTAATCCCAGCACTTAGGAAGACCAGAAGGACCAAGACAGATCATCCCCAGCTAGACAGCAAGTTCAAGGCCAGGCCAAGCTACAAGAGATGGATTTGATATACACAAAGTTCATTAATTTATTCTTGCAAGTTGAACTGCAAGATAGTATAGCTTTAAAATGTCTACGGTCATAAAAAATACACTGTCTCTAACAGGATAAAACTTAAAGCTCTATTAAGCAGTAACTATGTGCCAGAAGCTATTTTAAGAGTGTTCTAGAGCCAGGCGGGGAAAAAGACCCACAAAAGCCATAAGATTACAATTCCCATACAATTTCGTTCTGATTGACTTATGTCTAGAGGCTAATTTCACAAGATCAGAGCCTGATCACAGGGTGGGTACAATCACGTCCCATGTACTCTCTTCCCAAAACCTCAAGGGGGTATCAGGGTGGGAGTGAAAGTCACACAAAGGTTACAGTGGTCTTTCCTGGAATACTTGCAATTAACCCAGTCACAGTTGAGCGCATCTCTTAATAGAAATCTCTTTACATTGTTACATTGTGGGTGGTTGAATAATAGTTGAGTCAGTTTGCTCTTGGAACTAGCTTTTTAGTTCCTCATTCTCCTGGGGCTTGGGGGTGTAAGCCTGAAGGGCCAGGGTCTTTCAGTACTACTGTTATCCCATTTTACAGAAGCTGAAGCAGGGAAGTAAAATTCTTCTGAGATTTTACAGTGAGGGGTACAGCCAAGTGGAGGCACCAACACCTGGACACAAATAACATACTGCAACATGCAGCTACAGAAACGACAGCCCCATCAGCAGAAGAGGCTTTCTAACAAGCTTTACTGTCATGGGATGGAACCCTCAGAGATCACCGAATGTAAAGACATGACTCAGCAGTTAACAGTATTGTGGCCCTAGAAGAGGACCCGGGGTAGGGTCCCAACACCAACATGGTGGATACACAACTTCCTGTAACGTCAGTTTGAGGGGATCCACACCCTCTTCTAGCCTCCATAGACCAAGTACACACAACATATTCTTACATGTGGGTAAAACATTTATGCTCATAAAAAAAAAAAACAAATTTTCAAAAAAATTTTAAAAATAAGAAAAAGTCCCTGGTACTACATTCCCCCTAAAAGAGCTAGCCTTTGCCTAGGTAACTTAAATTCACCACCTAATATAACCTCTCCTAGGGTAGCAATTAGGCCCAAAGTTCCATCTCCAACACTGCCAAAAACTAATAGTAATATTAATAATAACGCTCTCCCCTGTTTTAAAACTAAGGCATAAATAAAAACTGTTAAGCACCAATAATTTTATTTCTTTGGCTTTGCCATCAAATCCACTGTTGTTGCACTGGTTCCTGAGGGTTTTGTTTGGGGGCAGTTTGTTTTTTGTTTTCCTGATTTTCAGAGACAGGGTTTCTGTGTAGCTCTGGCTGACCTGGATGGAGGTCAATCTGTAGACCAGGCGCTGGCCTCAAAACCCAGAGATACACCTGTCTCTGCCTCCCAAGTGCTGGGACTAAGGGCATGGGCCACCATCGCTCAGCTTTTGGGGGGAGTTTCTGAGTAGTTCACTGTGTAGGTCCTAACTCACCTGGAATTTACTAGGTAAACCAGGTTAGCCTTGAAATTAGATCTGCGTGCCTTGACCTCCCAAACGGTGGAATTAAAGGCTTGCAAACAATGGCAGGCCAAGTTCTGTAGGTTTAACCAATGTTGACTCAACGACATTTTATTCCATAAAAAATTACTCCACGGTAAAATGTGAATAGTTATCCTGTAGAACCAGGACAGGCTTTTTAAAGTGCAGACTTACCTGTAAATACAATTTTACCTTTTAGTCTCTCCCACAAGGTGTATGTTCACGCCTTTGATCCTAGGAAAAGCAAGAAACGTTTTTTAAGATTAGAAGGCATATCTATCTTCCTTAAAGTGGTACTGAGATTTACTAAGTTTACTGAACTGGTATTAGTTACCCTAAAAACAAAACCACTAAACTAGGCTAGTCTCAAAATATCCCCTGCCACTAGAATTCAAGTGCGCTTCTCCAAGTCCACTACTGTCCTAAATTCCAAAGCAAAAATACTTCGTTAGCAATTTTCTTTATTGGGTTGGTAAAAGAAAACTCGACTGGGGCTTAGGGAAGCAGTTACTAAGACCTTAGCATATTAACAAGAAACAAACTTCCCCTGAAATGTAACACATTTAGCAGACAATTTAAATACCCACGCAAGTTCGGCTGCTGGCCTATTGGAATGCATGCCAAGCTCACACACTTCACCTGCTTTTTCGTTTTTCTAGGAAGGCACTCAAAGTACCACAAATGCAAAGTGCTTCCGAGATGCTGCGGGCCGCGGTGTTCACCCAGGCCTGGGCAGCTCGAGGGAGGAGCGCAATGCAATGCCGCCGGGTCGCAGGGGCGGAGGCGGTGTAAGGCGCGGAAGACGAGCCAGAAAGAAACCGAAAAGCAAAACAAAGCTCTGCTTCTCCTTCCGAGACAGGAAGGAACGTGAAGCTGCAACAAGCCCGCCCGCGTCAGGCCAACAACCGCAGACCGCGCGCCCGCCCCGTGCGCCGCGACCCTAGCGGGCTGCGGGGACGCTAGCGGCGCCCCTGGGTGGGGACCGAGGTGACCGAGACCCAGCCCTGAGCCCCGAACGAAGAACAAAAGCCCGCTCCGCCGCAGACCTGCCGCCCCTGCGGGTGCTCGCTCGCCTCTAGCATGGATCAAGGCCTCCGCCGAGCGCGGACTGCGCCGAGCTTTGGAGGCGGCCTCGGTCTGGGCGGATCCAGCTGGCTCTGCGCTCCGCCCCCGGGCGTCTGCGCCACCACCACGGTCCTAGTGCCGGGCAGAAGCGTCTTCTGCAGCCTGAGGGGAGATCAAAGCCTCGCCCTGCGCCTGGAATTTGCACCAGAATCACCTGGAGGGCTTCTGAAGCAAAAAGCCGAGCGCGGGCGGGAATATAACCGATCCAGTCAGTTGGGATGGGGTTGAAACTCTATTTCAGACAAGTTGTAATTCTGTGAAGATAAGCCGATGAAGATCTCATAAGCAATGATCGATTTTCAGATGGGATGGCAACATTTTCTATGAAGTACGTGAAAGAAAATGCACCCTCTGCAGGGCATAAAGGTGCATGCCTTTAAACCCAGCATTTGGGAGGGAGAAGCAAGATCGCTGTGAGTGAATGAGTCCAGCCTGGCCTACCTAGCAAGTTCCAGGACAAAGTTCTCAACCAAAGGAAAAAAAATAGATAGAAAGATAGATAGGCACGTAGTGCTGAAGGGCTCTAACAAGCCCACAATGGCAAACATGGCACCGGCCCTGGTCCCTCCGCACTGTTTTGCTAACCCACTAGATTCCACATTAGACTCGTTCAGCCACTTCCTCATGCCTGACTCATTCCTGAGGCTGACCACCAAGGTCCAGCTATCAAAAATGTTTATTTGGCTAAACTAACATGACCAATCTGGACTTATCAACTCATCCTATCACGGCCTTCCCCATTTTTCTCCTTAAAAACAACTCCTGCTGAGCCACGCTTCGGATTGTTTGTCACGTGCAGTAGTAGTTCCTGTAGCCATACAGCCTGGGCGAAATCACTTATGTTACAAGATGTGAGCCACATGGATGGGAACAGCTGCTGCAAGTGTAGACATTTATGGAGACACAACTGTAGGGTAACAGAGCCAAGAAAAAAACACCCTGAACCCTGACTTGATCCCAAGACAAAGGTCAAAGGAAAAACATCCTGCCAGGGGTTTGACCTTGAGCTCAGAAACTTGGAAGTCCCCACCCCCACCCCATGACTCAGCGTTAACAGCCAAACAATGTTTCTTATACTAAGCTCACAGCGCATGCTCCAAACCATATAAAAGCCTTCCCCTCCCTTCAGCCCTCTGCTGTCTCTCTTCCTGCTCAAAGGCAGCTGCCATTCTGTTCTTCTCCCCAATAAATCTCTCGTGTGAGGTTTGTTACATGGTTTGATTATGTGATATTCCTTGGCTCCTAATTGCCAAGATGCCCTTACGACAGAAAACCCTTATATTGCTGCCGTAACGCTGACAGGCTCTCCTGATGCCTGTGTTCCTTCTTGAGTTCTAAGCCACGTTGGGACCCTATATCTCATCTCCAGTCCACCCACAACAGACTCACCTTCGAGCTCACCATCTCTCAGCACCCCATCCACCAGGGATAATTCCATAAACTTCCCCTTTGGTCGGTATGAACTCTTCCCCGAGTCGGAGGAAGTGACCACTGAGCATCTGGCACCCCTCTGGTACTCTTGGAGATGGATGTATTCCCAGCCAGTCTTACATCTGGCTGGTTCTCTTCACCGACCCTGTCCCCCGCAATCCTGCGGCTTCCGTGGCTATTATGACCCTTTACTGTCCTGCTTCCTTTCTGCCTCCACCCTCAGACCTGCCTGTAATCCCTCATGACTTTTATGATAGTTGTGTAGTCAGGGTTCTCTAGAGTCACAGAACTTATGGAATGAATCTCTCCCTCCCTCCCTCCCTCCCTCCCTTCCTCTTTCCCTCTCTCCCTCTCTATATACATATATGGGAATTTATTGGAATGACTTACCAGCTGCAGTCCAACAATGGCTAGTTATGAATGGAAAGTCCAACAACCTAGTAGCTGCTCAGTCCCGCAAGGCTGGGTGTCTCAACTGGTCTGCTGGCATCTTAAAGAAGGAAAGGATGTGCTGATGGAGGTGAGGGCAAGCAGGGAAGAATATCCCTTCCTTCTTCCATTGTCCTTACATAGGCTTCCAACAGAAGGTATGGCCCAGATTAAAGGTGTGCCTTCCAACCTCAAGGTCTAGATTAAAGGCATGTGTCTTCCTGCCTCAAGATCCAGGTCACAAGTGTGCCCTTCATTTGGGGATTATAGTTCGTTCCAGATATAGTCAAGTTGACAACCAGGAATGGCCATCACAATAGTATGTGACCTGTTCCCCATCCCTTTCCGGTCGATGAGACCTCACTCCTGAGCTCAGTTTTTCATTGCCTTCTGGCAAGCTTTCAGGCCTCATTGAAAGCCCTGGTACCAAGTGTCACATCTCCTCACGTGGTTAGCCCTGACCCTCACTGAATGTGGTGATGACCCACTGTTAGCATTCAGGCATCTGTACTAGCCTGCCCTTAGGGTCCTGACAGTATATAACCTCAGCTGCAGGCACTAAGAGCACCCCCTGTGCACATTCGCTATATTTCCTTATAAAAGGCAGGCCTCGTACACCTCCTGTCTCTCTTCCTTTGCTCTCATCCCTAGGGACTGGTCTCTTCCCATTTTTTGCCCCCTTCTCTGCCCCTTCTCTCCCCTCCCCTCAATAAACCTACAACATAGGCCCTATTGTATGGTGTGACCCTTCATGCCATTTTTTTTTTGTTGTTGTTGTTGTTTTTGTTTTTGTTTTTCGAGACAGGGTTTCTCTGTGTAACTTTACGCCTTTTCCTGGAACTCATTTGGTAGTCCAGGCTGGCCTCGAACTCACAGAGATCCGCCTGCCTCTGCCTCCCGAGAGCTGGGATTAAAGGCGTGCACCACCACCACCCGGCATCATGCCACTTTTAAAATACAACACCCACTAAATGGCTTGTTCCTCTTCTGGTCCTTCCAGAGTCCTGGGGACACCCTCGACTACAGGCTACTCCAACGCCCATCCCCAATCCATGGGAGTGGTATCATCATACCCTCTCATTCACCCTTGGGATGCCTCTTAGAAAATCTCCAGCCTCTATGCTTGGCACCAATCAAAATGGCTGCTTAACCATAGCCTAGATCCCAATAGTACTCAGATCCTTCAGATCAAGGAAATGGGAAGAGGATCCCCATTCTCTATATCCCAACTTCCTCTTATCTCTGCTCCAAATCCTCTCTCTCTTCTTCCTGTTCCCCCACCTAACTCCTAGCTATGAAGCACAAACCATTTCTAATCTAGCTGAGAAGCCTCCTCCTCATTGGCCTCAACTTTAAGCTCCTCTTCCTCCAGCCCCTCCAGTCTCCCCTTCTCCCTCTCCGGTACCTAATTTTAGCCCACTGGAAGCCTTCAGCACTCCTGCTACTCATTCCAGCTTTGCCATGGAACCCCCTCAGCCAACTCCCACCTGGCCTAACCTAGCCCCAGTTCTCCCTTTATGGGAGGCTGTCACCTGGAAACTTTCTCATTAAGTAATTTCCTTTGAGCATGTGAGCTTTCTGGGTTCTGTGTTTATTGGTTTTGTTTGTTTTCTCTATCCCTGCCAGACCAGCCTCTCCAGTAATGTTGCTTGCCATGGCTGCTCTGATGGCAAGGGCTCAGAATTTATCCCTAGGCTTTCTGGTCACTGGATTCAGTTTAGGAGGGATTCAGATGTCTTTTGAGTGTGGCTAATATTAAAGTTGTTTCATGCTGTTCCACTTTATTGGATAGCTGGTTGTGGAGTTGGGTTATAGATTCCTTTTCTAGACCCAAGCATGTTTGTATAAATGTTTCCTCCAAAATCTCTGCCCTGTGTGACAGAGAAAGGAGAGCAAAATAAGACAGGGACTTAAAGGAACTTGCTTTGCAATGAGTGTTCTCAGTAATAACTATGTGTCTCCAATAAATGGTTAGATGGAAAATGTGAAAGCTTAAGTAAGTTCTGAGGGTCTAAGAAAGTGTCTGAGGATGTGAAAGCTAGTATTTTAAGGTATGTAAATGCAAGTTGTAAAGGTATAAGAAAGTAATCTAAGGTAATGAAAAAATGTTTCCAATTTCTTTCTCCCTCTATTTTGAAGGTTCAAAGTTTTAATATCAATCAATGGAGCACTAATAAGCTGATAAAATACTACTATTATCAGTCACAAGTTTAAGATTTTAAATTTCTTTTGGTTGTCTTCTAAGCATAGATACAAAGGTGCTTCTCATCATGCTAAAAAAAATCTCTATCCAATTTATATGTCCAGCTCTCTGGACAGAGGAAAAAAGGAAAAGCTTTGGGTTAAAAAGCATGAACAAAGACTCAAGGTATGACATCTGTTGGCTACTTTTCTACAATTGGATTTCAGTATAGATTACAAACATTGGTAATGCTAATATATCTAAAACTTTTATCTCCTTATAAACAAAAAATTGAGGTAAGCTTCAGGGAGTTGGGTAGTGGTTTCCACTCTCATTCAGTGGGATTAACAACACACTCAAAGGAAAAAGGTTTAAAGACCAGTTTAAGGAACATTAAATTCTTATCTTTTTTTAAAACAAACCTTGTACTTGCCCCTTCCCCAAATGCTGAATTCAGGCACTGAGACTAGTTTTAGTGAGAGGTCAGTTAGTTTTATATACATAATCCTCTTCATGTTCAGGAATGTCTACCCAGCCAGATATAACTGCTGCAAGTTCCAATCAGAGAAGAACACGCAGACACAATCTATGAGCCAATTGAAAGTCTTTATTCCAGCCATCTGGTGACTACAGCTAGGTATTCAAGACCTAAGTGTAATGCTAAGCCTTTTACAAAGTCCATATTTAAGCAAGAAAACCACATCCTTTCTGGAAAGTCTCCAAAGTTTCTGTATTAGTCAGGGTTCTCTAGAGTAATATAACTTATAGAATGAATATGAGATTTATTAGAATGACCTACAGGCTGAGGTCCAGCTAATCCAACAATGGTTGGCTGTGAAC